AGTCAGAGACATATTAGAGGCAGAAACAGGAGTTAGAAGGGGTAGAGGTAGACCTAGATTAGATTACTGTTCGCAAATAGTTAAGGATGTGGGCTGTTCTAGTTTTAGGGAAATGCGAAGTTTAGCCCAGGATAGGAAAGAGCGGAGGTACGTGTCCAACCAGTGTTAGGACTGACGACCTTATGATGATGAACATTTTTGGCACAAACCTATACGCTGATATAAATCATCATCCATTTCTCCATGTATTGAGGTATTGTTATACATAAAATTATGTTATATTTTTCTTTGCGAGTGACAAAGCTTAATTCGACTATTTTTTCTATAAGAAGTATCGATTACTGTGTGATGTAAAAAATTGATGGTAAGAGATTTATTATAATATTGTGGTCATTAACTTTTTGCTCCTTCTTTGTCGGTTAAAATTACTTCCCAGATTTTAAAGCGTTACTCTATATTATGTACTTACCAATTTCCTAAAGGTCGACAAAAAACTAGCGAATTAAAATTACATTTCGTTTTTAGATCACGAACTTGAAGGGTCATTGAAGTTTAGTTTGCATGTGAATGAACTTTCACAAAAATATTTAATACAGGTACTTATATTTATTTTAATAGTAAAGTAAGATAAAAACAAAATTGCATTGCAGATTATAAAGTGAAATTACAGATTTTATTTTCAAGTTATCAGTTCCGTATAATAAACGTTTTTGAGTAAGATATTGCACTATTATCTAGAATATTTTTCGTTATAATTTCTAAATTGAAATATGTATGTTTAGTAATATTACATTATCGTATATTACAAGAGGAGTTTCCCGCCGTACTTTTTTCATTTTGGCCTTACAAATAATTTATCAAAGGCCATAGAGTCTACTGGACGGCTACAAAAATTGCAGGTGACGAAAAACATTTTCTGAAATATCTCGTAAATTGCATACATTAATTTTGTTTATTATAAAATTTGTTTGTAAGATAAATCTGCATAAAAAAGATCCCATACAAAATTTATGTAGAACCAATAGTTTATGACATGTGGAACCGAGAAAACGTTATTTCAGAAAGATTGCTTTTCGTCATCTTTGACCACCTCTAACTGTTGTGACCATTTGTTTGTATTCATGAACTTTTGATAAGTTATTTGTAAGGCCAAACCAAAGATTTTTTAAAGGTTTAATTTTTTTTTAGGGTTCCGTACCTCAGAAAAAAAACAGGAACTCTTACAGGATCACTTCGTCTGCCTGTCTGTCGAGACCCTCTTTAGCAAGTTGAAATTTATATCAAATACACAGGCCCGAAATCCCTTGGAGATGTGAAATAATCAAACTTGTAAGTCAACGCAATCAAATGATACGGCCGTTTATGCCGCACATTTTGACACTCGCAATGGAATCAAATCCTGTAGGTTCTTCCCGTTGACATTGAATCATGAAATTGTGCCAAGTTTGGTAAAAAAATTTCAAAGTTTTGCTTATTGTTATATATGTACGATGTACACTATACAAGGTGTGTTATACCATTCGTAAAGCCTTTCTGAAACTGAAAGACTACCCAATTGAAAAATTAATGAAATCAAAATTTTTATTTTTTAACATTATATTTCTTCGGTTTTGGAGGGTGTTGTGCGAGAAAACCAATACGGATTTACTAGCGTCAATAGAAATGTTGACAGTTACTGTCGTATTCCAAAACGTTTTAGCGTAGCCATTCTTTTTTAAACAATTACTATAATCTTCCAAATCTTTTTAAGGTTGCAGTTCCGAAAAGGGGGTCCTACCGATTGGTTTCAAATTTTTACCACAACACTCTTTTAAGACTTGTAGATTTAGAAAAAGATTTTGACGATTTTAAATGGGACAAGATGTTAAATATACTTAAAAATGTAGGGATGAGTTATAGAGGTAGAAGAGTGTACTTAGTTTGTATAAAGAGCAACAGGCAGTTCTAGAGCTAGAGCTGCAATGTAGAGAAGTAAACATTAGGAAGGGAGTCAGACAGTGGATGCACACTGTCATAGCTACTTTTTAATCTACACATTGAAGACGCGATCAAAAGATTAGTATGCTTAGATTTGCAGATGATATAGCAGTATTAGCATCTAGCAAGAAGGTGTTAGAGATAATTTTAAATAAAAAGGAAGCGGTATTGATAAAGCAGTATTGTATTGCAGCGAGCAAACGGGCATACGTGTGTATGAGCGGCTTATCGATTCGCCGACTAGCCGCGGGCGCCTTTCTTCATGTGCGACGTATTTATAAATGTGTGTGTCGTACCTGCGTTCTGGGAAAACAGTTAAACAGGTTAAATAAAAAGAAACTTTCCGGACGTTTCCAGAAAGTTCCCGAAAGGAAACAAAAGAGTATTTAAAGGAAGAGAAAATCGCCGAGAGGGAGAAGAAATAAATTGACCGTTGCAGAAGTGAGTAGAGAAATAAATTGACAGTGATAGCAGTGAAATAAATAGCGCAGTGAATAGTGATACATTAATAATTAGTGTAAACAAATAGTTTTGTTATTATCAGTCTTAAAAGTTAATTTTGTTAAACCCACGAACATTATAGTATGAAGATAAAAGAAAACCATAAATACTGGTATGTAAGGGAAGAAAAAGTAGGGAAAGAGCGAATATAAAGAAAGGATACGAAAAATTAGTGGCCGATTTTCGGTATTTAGGAAGTCAGGACGGAAGTCACTTCTATGCTGGCGAACTGTTAAGGTTGTGGTGTTACAGGCTCATGGTGAGAATACCGTCGATAGAGAAGGTTAGAAATGATGAGATATTAGAAAGGATAGGAGAACAAAAGACTCTATGGAAGTCAATAAGAAATAGGCGAGATAAGCTGGTAGGGCACCTTCTCGGGCATGAAGGAAAAGGAGTTAAGAGGAGTAGAGGTAGACATAGATTAGATTACTATTCGCAAATAGTTAAGGATGTGGGTTGTTTCAGTTTTAGGGAAATGCGAAGTTTAGCCCAGGATAGGAAAGAGTGGGAGTACGTGTCTAACCAGTCTTAGGACTGACGACCTTATGATAATGGCTCTTTTATGGACTGCTTAGATGATGATACCTAAAAGGATTTTTGCGACTAGAATGGAAAAGGGCAAAATAATTATATTTTTCTCTAAGATGATAACTTCAAAATACATTGCTGGAAAAGAAAGCTCTTTTACTTATTGCCTTCAAGTTTTTATCACATAGTGTTTTTATACCTCTTAAAAGCACTACCCAGATTTTTTAACAAAATGGTGGAGGGCGGAACTGTCACCAACCCTAACTTAACCTAACATGAATTAGGTTATTTTGTGTTTTGTTACATTAGGTAGGTTGGGTTAAGGTGTATAGCAGTTACTCCCCACCCCCAAAAAATTCAACTATGTACTTATATGATTACCAAACGGGCGTTACCAAACTGACCTTACTGTGTAAAGACATTCAACTTGTATAACTTAATACATAACCTGTAGCCCTAATGATGCATTGTTACCCCTTTACGTTAGAGTCGTCAAAAATCCTTTTAGGTATCATTATCTAGTCCATAAAAGGAGTATCTACGTGGTAAAATTTTGAAGCCAATCAGAGGGTATCCGTTTTCAGAACTCTAGCCAAATAAACACAAATATACTTACAAAAAGAAGTATTTGCAGTTTCTTTTTTATTATAAGAGAAAAGGCAAAAAGATTTGGGGAAATATTCCTTAAACAAAAAATGTTTTAATTCCTCCGGAAATAGGAAAGTCCATCATTTTGAAACCCTACTTTTTGTGTATCTATATTTTTTAACATTTAACAGTTCTTGACAAATACGACTATGGTTGAAGACAACAGATTTAGACAGAGCTATTTCTGTGAGGATTATACTTTCTGTTTTTGGTAAAGAAAGAAAGTTGTAAGGAAATTTTGCTTTATTACCCTGATAAAAGTGTTTCCTGTCTGCCTTTGTCCTAGTGGACATAACATAATTAAATAATGTCGACGTTGCATTAAAATACATAATTGAACAAGCGCGAACAGTTAAGTGAAAATGACATTTTAAGACACAATGAAACACCATCTACATGTATCCTACGTCAAACAAATCCAGTGTTCCTTTGACCTATTCATTAAAGTAATTACTAAATCTCAACCATTACTTAGGTCAATGTCTTGCCATTTACAAATGAAATATCCACGATTCTTTTTGTGCAGTTATTCTAAGAATTTTATGTTCGACACCGTGGTGGAAAAATGTGTTGAAAAGGATTAAAGTTACAGATTTTACAAAGTTTTTTCAACCACGTTTATTTGAAAATCTTACCTGCCTCTCTGGAAACTGTCCTAAACTAACCGAACTTTTAAAATCTTTTTTAAATAAAGCATAACACTCCCTAAACGCTTTAAATTGTAGTTAGTGGATTTGTGTATATTACATAATTAATTATAACAAGATTTTCCTATACCAGGTCGTATTCTTCAAATGATGATACCGCAATTTGATGATTGCATTTAATAAAATATCCCTGTGTTCAGTTCTCAATTCACTACTAGTGTATATAAAGAAATGGGTTTACTGATAGAAATGGAAATTAAAAATTACCTTTAAATGCTGCATTAAATATTCGATTAAAATTTTTTTCTTCGTCTTCTTTTCTTTTTCATGGCAGATGCCTATATGCAATCCCATAACTAAGGTTTTCATAAGTCCACCTTCCCAAATATCCCATAGGAATTTAGGAGTGTAACAAGCTAGTCCCTGAAAAAATGAAATTATTACATTTTTGCACCCTAAACTACATTATTTATAAAGTATGTTCTCTGAATGCTAATTATATTTTATAATTGTAATTACTTTTGAAATTTATATTTTGTTACAAAAGACTCAATTCGAGGAGTACATACTGGTTTAATTTTTTTTAATGATATTTCGCAGTCGATGTGAGCGATATTTTGAAGAGAATATTCTCAGACCTTTTAAATTGAATTAAAACTGATTCAGCAGTGTTTTCTTAATAAATTAAACCAAGTTAAGTCGCTCTTCGGTGGCCAAGCTTGTTACATAGNTTCCACAGTATTGAACAGCTATCCTGATACACTTTTCTTATTGGTCACAACAGCACATCAATATACAATTGATTTTATCGTCTTCCGTCTTTATCGTCTTTTTCAGGACTTTCCGTCTTTTGTACGTCTTTCGTCTTCTACGCGTCTTTCGTCTTTTTCGCGTCTTTCCTCTTTTATTTTTACTCTTTTTGTTCGTCTGACCTCGATGGCTACTTATTTGCAACTACCCTTCCCCCGCGGTGTTCACCTTCGTTCACATTGGTAAATCCCCTATAATCTGGGACTTGCAAAAACAATTCGAATGAATCAGGAGCGGACAAACTGCAGAAACTCGCTATCGTATTATTAGGATAAATATAACTGTTATAACTTAACGGAAAGAAAAATAAAACAAAAACCCACATATTTAGGACATCAATGCAAGTGAAGTCGAGGGGGAAATCTATCGTGAAATTTCTATGCACATCTACAGAGGTACAGAAAGGGACACAGAGTATCTTTTATTCAAAAAGATACACTGTACCCGAGCGATAGAAAAAATTAATTTTATGTAGTCGTCAATGATTTTTGACACGTATTTATATCAATAAAAACCTAAAAACTAGCCAAAATTAGATTTGCTAAAAAAATCACGATTTTTATCAATCTTGGCTAATTACACAAACATCGTCCTCTTTTGTTTTAAAAACACAATGTGCGGGATATCAGTATCATACATTATGTCTTATTACTCTTAAACTTCCTTTTAGTAATTACACATTAGCTTTCAGGAATGTCTCCTTTTTGTTTTGTCCATTCATTTACTTATTACTATAACCTACTGGTTTCTCCTTAAAAATTAATGCAATGGGCGAATCGAGACTGATTTACATGACTTCATCATAATTAACGTTTTCTATATTACAACAAATGGCCTCTGACATGAAATTTCGTACGTCATAGTTTTTGTCGCTGTTGTCACTCACCAATAATGATTTTTTTAATAGGTATTAATGATCACAAGCAATAACTTGAAAATTAATAACACATTCTAATTTGCGACATTTCGTCAACTATTTATTGTTCAATATATGTATAACAAATACGTGAATTACATGATGTCAATGTTGTTAATAAATAAAAACTATTTTCTATAACTATCAATTTTCATGTTCCTTATGATCATTAGTACCTATTAAAAAATGTTTTGTCGTTCTGATACGGTTTGGCAAATGAACTGATTATATTTATACATTATATTAACTGAAATCATTTTACATTTGATATAGTAGGTAGTCCAGGTAATAAGGGAATGGAAAAAATTTTCGGATTATGTTTTTTTTTTTACGTAGTTTTGTTCGGAAGATTCTCCTGAATACCACAATGTAGGTTGCTAGCCAGTAACCTGTTAAAATCACGATTGTTTAAACAAATAGCAAAAACAATTTTTTTTTGTCCGGAACATTTTTTTATATTCTTTGGTTTAATCTCGATAAAAAAGG